GAAAAGCAGAATGATTTTATGAGTACTCAAAGTACAGTTTCTACTGAACATGTATTGCTTTTGTACCATGGTAAAGTTGAAAAATTGTACGTCAAAGCAGCACAAGTCAGGGACCTTCTGACTTCTGTACACACTTCTGTACACTTCACAGTGCTTGACTCACCCACTCTGCTGTGGACAGGTCACGTGGCCCAGAGCCTTGGCCTTGGAAGATTGTCTATAGCTCTCTGCAGCTTGGACCCTTCATTAGATCAAACTCTCTCGAAATTATTGGTGCCTTGCTTAGCTAAAATTCCCCTGAGCCTCTGAGTGTGCCCACTAATTTGAGACTCTCCAGTTCAAACTCTTCTCTCGTTTTCCTTTGGGTGTGATTCGGTTAGTACTTTGTGCAGCTTGAGATCTCACTTTCCCGAATTGCTTTTCCACTGGCTTCTGACAAAGAATAGAGAGGACTGATAGGAATGTTCTGCTGATTCTTGCTGTTTGGGACAAGAGAGTGTGTTGGCAAGTCTCATTTTGAAATTGTCACTTTTGTGTCCAGAATATGCAACAGGACAGGTTTTTACATAAATAATGTGGAAAATTGATTGTATGTGCCTGCTGAACCATAGGGAATTTCCCTTTTGGAATCAAAATTTAAGAGATGCAATTCTGAGAACACTGCAGCTAACAGAAACTTCCACTTGGAAGATGCTATTCTCTTGAGTCCTTCTGTGTGAGCTGGTTCAGGTTTCATGCTATTTTGCCCATCTCTGTTGCTGTATTTTTTAACAGCAGAGGAAAGGGGGAAAACCGCTGACCTTCTGATGTTTATTTGACTATTTAGGCTAATTGTTCATTTGCTGAAAAGAATAAAAGACCAAGGGTCTCTAAAATGCTACATTCTCTGTGTGTGTGCGCATGTGCATGTGTGAGTGTGTTTGCATGTGCATGAGTGTATTCTTTGTCCGCGTGTGTTAGAAAATGAGACTTGAGCATCAAGCTAAAAATAAAGACAAGAACATTTTATAAAGAACATTCCCCCTACCTCTTTTTTTGTCTTTTCTCCCACAAGGCACTGCCTCACCCTGTATTTACCACTTGCAGACAATCACTTACACATGTCCCTGCAGACTCGTACATCTTCATGTTTATCTTTCAATATGTAATTGTGGTAGAGAGATAAAAGGGCTAATCAGATTTCAGGAGTAAGAAGGAAGACTGAAGCAAGCTGAAATCTGAGATCACAGCTCTTTTTAAATGTTTGACTCAGGAAAGAGAATTCTATCTGCTGGACTTGGTGCTCAGACAAAGCCTCAAAACACAGGCAGACCTCCGCAGGCCATTAGAAAAACCATTTCTCCAGAATATGTGTCCATATAGAGAGGACAAGGAAAAGGTGGTAATAGCCTGCCTGAAATTGTAGCCACTGGAGACTGCTGATGAAAATTGTGCATAGCTGAAAGAGCAAATCACTCTAGTTTTTCAGTGATTGCACTGGATTTTGAAATTAAACCCAGCGGGGCAAACGTATCTGCCTGAGCTTCAAGAGAGGCGGCGGGCTGGTGGACTTGTGGGCTTGAGAGCTGTGAGCATCTATTTTTCAAGCCGCGGAGCTCGGTGCCTGCCCCGCTGTAGCATCCATGTGACTAGAGTCTCAGGACTGGTGATCTCTTTTTAGCCTACAGTAGTAGGCAGAAAGGAAGCAGATTTTACCTGGAGAGTGTGGTGGAGGAAGCTAAGGGGCGGTGGCTTAGGTAGTAAATCACAGTTCCTTCTTTTGTTTCTTTCCACATCAGGGAAGCTTTAATCCTACTCCTCAGGCTAAGCTTAGAGGTGATTTAAACTGTTCAAAGTAAAGATCAGCTCTCAGAAAGCCTTCAAGATTTCTAATTTGATTAGAATGTACTTGGCGCTAAAGGGACAGAGATGCTGGAGTGTCTTCTTTTTAGCAAGAGTTAGGTTTTAAAGTCAGCTTGTGCGGTGAAAATTGCAGGTAGTCACAATTAGGCTTGAAAATCCTTTAACAAAGTATCCATCAAGCTGCTTAGACCAGGGAAAGGTAGGGAAAGCAGTGTGGTTGGAGGGGAATGCCTGTCCTCACTCTCCTCTAGGCTCACGTGGGGGACCTGCTCTCAGAGAATGGAGTAGGACCGGCAGTCGCTAAGTTATTCTTCTCCCAGTCTCATCCAGCTAGCTGGGCTTTACTTGAATTTGCTTAAGTTAAATCCATGTAGGATGCAGGTTTACTCACCAATGTGTGGTCCAAAAAAGTGTGCATTTGCCTGATTTGGAAGAGGAGGGAAGTGGGCAGAAAACCTGGGACCCGACATCCCCAGCTAGACCTCAGGGACCTCTGGCCTCACTGCGTCACATTGTCAGGGCCTCTAGCTAACAATAATAGCTAAAATACAACACTGAAAATGTGCTAGGCATCTGTAAAAAGCGCTCTATGTATATCAACCCGTTCAATATCTACAATAACTCTAGGGGATAAAACTTTATTATCCCATTTTATAGATGAGGAAACCACATTTTAGAATTCATTCATAGTTTTCTTCCTGAAGTAGCCTATGAAGAAGATGAGTGTCAGGGGTGTATAGGTAGAGGCTATGGAGAGAACTGGATATTTCAGCCTTTTTCTTGGGGTCTGATGGGGATGTTGTAGGTGGGAGGATCTGCCCTGCACATCCGCTGGGGCTTGGTGATGCCAGATTCAGCTGCCTTGCTCTCTGTCTCCGGGCTTTTGCACAGGCTGCTCCCTCTGCCTGGTGTACTTATTCCCCCACTCTCCCCTGGTAACTTTTATTGATCTTGTAATTGCCCTATGGGTTCTTCCAACCTGCTGATAGACAAAATCAGTTCACTGAAACCATGGTGTAGCAGTAAAGAAAGAGTTTAGTTGACATCAGGCCAACCATGTGGGAGGACAGAGTTATTACTTAAATTAATTTCCCAGAAGGCTCTGAGGGTAGAAGTTTTCAAGGATAGTTTGGTGGGCAAGGGGCTAGGGAATGGGCCATGTTGATTGGTTGGGAATGAAATCATAGAAGTATGGAAAATGGTCCTTATGCACTGAGTCCCCCTATGGGTGGGTGTCGGCAGGGTATCGCAGAACCCATTGAGTCACACGTTGCCAGTCCAGGTGGAGTCAGCCAGTAGTCAGAAATGCGGAAGTCCAAAAAGACATCCCAAAAAGCCAATCTTAGTTCTACAGTAGTTATGCTATCTACAGGAGTGATGGGGAAAGTTACAAGTCTTGTGATCTCCGGAACAATGGCTAGTTGTCCTTTAACTATGCCTACATCTTAGCAGAATTAAGGATTTTCATCAGATTTTACAAAGGCAGTTTAGTTTTGGGAAGGGCTATTATCTTCCTTGCTTTAAGGTTAAATTATAAACTACATTTCTCCCCAAGTTGGTTGGCCTATGCTCAAGAATGACCAAGGAGAGCTTGGAGGTTAGAAGCAAGATGGAGTCAACTATGTCAGAATTCTCTTACTGTCATGATTTTGCAAAGTTAATTTCAGTTTCTCCTGGGCTCCTGTAGCTGGATTAGTGTCTGCCACACCCCCTTCCACAACTTCCACAACCCCCTTCCCTCACTCTGTCTCATTTACTAGACTAGATCCTTTTAGCCAAGGATGAAGACTTTCCTCTGCTGTCTCCTCAGCACTTAGCACAATGCCTGGATCACTGTAGTATTTGGTCAATGTTTGCTGAATGTATGTTGCGTAAGTAAAGAGAACATAATTTCCTGTCTAGTTTCTAAAACAGAGACACCTCCCACTTAATATCAGTCATCCACTTCTAAAATCAGATGTTCTGCACAAAAATGCTTACCAGAGCCTATTACCTTTTGTTTGAAATGGGGAAAATTACAAAATGCTACACCTCAACCCCAAATCCTTAGCCAGTTTCTGAAAATATAACTGAAACATAGAAAAATGCCTATATGTAACTAAAAAACTTGTATTAGGGTATAAAATGCTTTAAACATTCCTTCATGATCCCAGACCACTCCTGTGGTTGTTGATAAACAGCTGCTCTGTGGGCAGTAAAACCTTCTCTTCCGGTGTCATGGCTTTCTTCTCTGGTTTTACTTGCTTCTCCAAGTTTTTTCCAAGACTTTCTCAAATTCCGGGGAACTTTTACAATACTAAGCAAAAATCAAGGTATATTATCCAAGGCTGTGCAAATATGTTGGGAGCAAGCATGGCACAGGCAGAGAGTGGCTCACACTGAATATGAAATCCTACCAATTGAATCTGGAATTGAACTTGTCTTTTCCCATACATTGTTTGGTTAAAAATAATGCCCTAGTTTTGGGATGCAAATGTATTTTTTTTCTAAAATTCATACATCATCTGAAAAATGTCTTATCATGGCCAGTGCCTTCCTTTCTTCCATCTGTTTTTTCTTTCTTCTTTCCTTTTTGCCTTCCTTTATTTATTTGTTTTTTGAAACGGAGTTTCACTCTTGCTGCCCAGGCTGGAGTGCCATGATGCAATCTCAGCTCACTGCAACCTCCACCTTCCAGATTCAAGCAATTCTCCTGTCTCAGCCTTCCAGGTAGCTGGGATTACAGGTGCATGCCACCATGCCTGGCTAATTTTTGTATTTTTAGTAGAGACGGGTTTCCTCACATTGGTCAGGCTGGTCTCAAACTCCTGACTTCAGGTGATCTGCCCGCCTTGGTCTCCCAAAGTGCTGAGACTACAGGCGTGAGCCACTGCGCCTGGTCTCTTTTTTCTTTCAAAGTAATTGAGTTCATAAAATTTGGTTATGTTCAAGGAAGGGATCAGAATATGCCACTATGGCATAAAGATTATTCTGAGTAAAAGGCATTTGAGAATCAATAGGTTCAGGAAAAGTCTTTCTCTGCACTCCCTCATCTGCCTAAAACAGAACCTTCCCAAAGAATTCTGCTATTCGTAAATCCTACTTTAAGGAAGTGCCAGGGGAAAGGGTGGCTCTTGTTACCAGAGATGAGAAGTTGACCCCCAGATGCATAAACATACCTTATTAAAATAAGCCTTATTGTACTATAAGGAATTGATTGATGTGATTATGGAGGCTGAGAAGTTCCATGATCTGCTGTCTGCAAGCTAGAGCCTAGAATAGCTGGTAGTATGGTTTTAGTCAGGCACCACATCATTCTAGAATCCTATTGACTCCAATAGAAATGGTACCATGTCTGAGAGGCCAGGGAAGAGACCTAGAGACAGAGAACAAGACATAGGGTTTATTGGCGGGACTTACATACAGGGATGATCTGATGGTGGTGGGCTGGACAGGAGAACCACTATCATTTGTGACAAACATGCAGTTTAGCATTTTTCACTTAGCACCCTCCACCTAGCAACCTTCACCTAGCAACCTCCATTTAACCCTAAACAAAGGGCCTCAATCCCTTGTACAGCCTGCATTCCAAGGGAAAGGCTGGGACTTCAGATGTCCTTCATACATAAGGAATGAGTCTTTACATTGGCCACTCCTGAATTCCTTAGCTTTAGAGTCTGAACATACATTCTTCTTAGACCAGAGGGTCACTCTTAGGGCATGCTTAAGTTGTGGCTATCAGATCCTTCTGCCATACAGCCCAAAGGCCTGAACACCAGGAAAACTGATGGCCCTGGCCTAAATTTGAGGGCCTAAGAACCTGAGGAGCTGATGTTGTAAGTCCTGGTCTGAGGGCAGGAGATGAATATTCAGTTCCAGCAGCCAGGTAGAGAGAGAGTAAATTCCCTTTCCTCTGCCTTTCTGTTTGATCCAGACCTTCACCAGATTGCATGGTGCCCACTCCTGTTGGGAAGGGCAGTGTACTTTGCTGAGCCCACTGCTTCAAATGCTAATCTCATCTGGAAACACCCTCTCAGACACACACAGAAATAACATGCAACTAATTATCTAGGTACCCTGTGACCCAGTCAAGTTGACGCATAAAATTTACCACTTCACTGACTTTCCATTGGTTTCTTTATATGTTTTTCAGTCATTTCCCACCATTTGTTTTCCCTTAAAATCCCAACCCCTTCTCCTTGTTAAGGTGGGATATAAGCTCCAAGTTCTCACAGCTTCTTTGAGCCACTTTCTTTGTGAGCTCTCAAGTACATACATAAATATACTTTGTCTTTCTTGCTAATCTGTCTTTTTTTGGTTTAATTCATAGACCCCCAAATCACTGAACCCAAGAGGATAAAGAAAAGTTTTTCTTACCTGATACTTTAAAAAGGTCCACATATTTCTAAACAGGACAGAGAACTGTCTTTTGTGAAGCTTTTATGAATGGTGATGCCAGCATGGATCACTTGTCAGTTCTTTAGGGGCCAGATACCTGTCCTTAACTCTGAAGCCCGGCCCTGAAGTGGGCTTGGATCCCATTGAGAAATCTACCTACATGGCTCTTGGCTCCTGGCCATCCCTCCATATCTCTGGTCTATGGAGATGCCCCAAATTCTTGACTCATCAGTGTGATTAAGACACTATATCTTTTGTTATAAAAGCAAATATCTTACAAAAGAAGAGACACTTAATAATCGGTTTTTCCCTTCTTTCACATGGTAACATAACCCCTGAATTTTAGCTGAACATAGAATGAAGACTACATTTTCCAACCTGCCTGGCAGTTGGTGTGGCCACATGACTGGTTCTCACCAACGGAATGTGAATGGAAGTGATATGGGTCATAGCTGGGGTACTGATATTTTTGGAAGCCTGGAGGTCAACCAAGATCGCCAACATTGTCATAAAACAGTTTTTTCCCCCCCGCCCAGCTAGACCTTGTGCAAACTGCTAGAGCTCAAGATTGCACAGCTCGCAGTGAGTGAAATTGGGAACATGTTCAGCACAGTCCCTGGCGTGAAGGAGGAATTCAACAAATACATGTGTTGAGTGAATGAATAAGTGATGTTACAGATCTAGGTGTTCATGCTGAATGGTGGTCTTCTTTCATTTTTCAGGATGGATGACTTATGTATCAAAGACAGTCTTAGTTCTATTTTCAGTGCCCCCAGACTGCTGATTGCTGTCACCTGCACCTCTCCATTACCTGCATGAGATCCCTCTAGGTGGTAGCACCCTCCTTATTTTGTGTGCCCACACATGACCCCAATCCTCCCATAGTATGTTGGGGCCTAAAAAGGAACAGAGTTGAAACTAAAGCATGTTGTTTTGTGGAATTTGCCAATCTGCCTTATGTCATACCTAGTTTCTTTCTTTTAAAAATGTATTCCATAGATTCAAGCATAGATTATTATATAAACAAACGAAACTCATCCCTTGTGTAGCAGAAAATGAGTATAGTGCCTTGGGTATTAACAACGTTTTCCCATACAAGATAAAGTAGAAAGGGCCCATTTGCAGCCTTCCAGAGCTCAGTCACCAAGAAGTGCTAGAGTTCTCGGAACTTAATTTTCTTGTATCTGGTGTGGCTGCCTTGAACTTTGCTCTCAATTGAAACAGGCCTTAGGGTGCACTAACCCTCCTGCATAATAGATCTAGCCATGCAGGGAGGGAGATAAGCCTGATGCTAGCTAACAGAGGCCTTCTGAGCAGCCTGCCTATATCCTTAGCATTGTGTCCTTGGATTTTTATCTTTTTTATTTGGAAAAAACTATCACAAGGACATGGGGCCTAACAACATTGATTGTCTTGATAGTTTGTTGATTAAGTCCAGGAGATGCTAGCATCTGCAAATACATCTTATTAGGTATGATCAGACAAGTAAATTGTCCCTGCCCTCCAGCATGCTGTAATAATTAACTCTAATACCAACAACTAAAAGTTAATCACAGCAGGTGCAAAGCCAGGCTCTCTTTGTCTGCCTGCAAAACCTCTTTCCCACCATGCTTCATGAGGTGTTAGCTCTGAGACTTGGAACAGGTTCTTTGTAAAAGAGCCCTGCCTTTCTGTAAAAGTGTTCCACATATTATTAATTTAATTAGGTTTTAAAAAGGTTAATCATGACATTTTAATAGCTTACGTTTCACATTAATATTCTGAGAACACTGTTTAGCCTAGCCACTTCTGATTCAAAAAGCTGTTTTTCCAGAAAACAAATAGGCTTTTAGGACAATTACAGAAAACAGCTTTCATTTGATTAAGATGGGTATCTTGTTATTAAAAAATGTGATTGAATTTTTAGTAGAGACAGGGTTTCACCACGTTGACCAGGATGGCCTCGATCTCTTGACCTCGTGATCCACCCACCTCATAATCCCAGCTACTCGGGAGGCTGAGGCAGGAGAATTGCCTGAACCCAGGAGGCGGAGGTTGCAGGTGAGCCGAGGTCGCGCCATTGCACTCTCCAGCCTGGGTAACAAGAGTGAAACTCCTTCTCAAAAAAAAAAAAAAAGTGATTGAAATAAAATACATATAAGACATTCCAAAACGTTAAAACTTTAGTTTGATACAATTCATCTCTGAGAGAGGGAGATGAGGCAGTATGTTTATGGAGATTATCTGAAAAGTGGCTAATGTCCTTCAGCAATAGGCAAATTAGTGGACTCTGCTTGTGATGTGCTGTGTATTGTCAACCTAATGTTTTGTTTGTTTGCCTGAAAGCTGCAGGTCTTCATTAGGGAGTTTAGAGAGCAAAGCAAGATATTTACTATCCTGGCTAACAAATAACCTCTGTTCATGTTTCTTCTTTTGCTATCATGGCTAATCGTTGCTTTTTAAAAATAGCTATTCAATATGCTAATGGATCCTGTGGAAACAGGAATAAACCATAACTTCCTATAGAGGGAGGCAGCAAGGAACAATTCAGTCATACATGCAGGTATGGCTACTATATGCCAAGTGTTGTGCTAGCTCTGGGCACACAGAGACGCTGAAGCCAGGGGCTGCCCCCCAAATACTCCCCACGAGCAGTGAGCTGGCATTGATTACCCGATTAACCCTCATTATACAGTGTAATAGGTGCTTTTCTTGCCCAGAAGAAACACAGGTGACAAGTAATTAGTTCAGTCTGGTGTGACTGGAGATGACTGCAAAAGGCAGTGGGGAGCTGGGACTTGAAGGACTAGATGATTTTGCCAGAGGTAGACTTGCTTAAACCAGTGGTTCTCAAAGTTGGTGGAAAGGTGTGTGTGTGTGTGTTTTTAACCAGCTTTCCAGGTGATTCTGATCCTAACTAAAGCTCAGAATGTGCTGATTCATGGCCCCTTTAGTCAACTGTAAGACATTTGACTTGACCAGAGCTTTGGGATTGATGAGGGGGTGGAGGGATGGGATACCAGGCTGTGAAGCTGGAAACGTCAGTGGAGGTCAAGCTTGAAGCAACAGAAGGGAAGATATGAATATTTATATTAGCTGTCTGTATGTGGGCTTTTGTAATGATGGTTCTGGTGCCTGGTAACAGGAACCAGCTGGAATGAGCTTAAACAAATAGGAGATTTATTAAAAAGATACCATGAGATCTCATTGCTATCTAAGGGAGAACTCAGCAACCAGGCCCCGGGAAGGTATTTTTTTTTTTCTTTTTCTAGTTCATATTATTTCCTTAGGATAGATTCCCAGATGTAAGATTACTGGTTCAGAGAGTGTGAACAATTTCATGGCTCTTGAGGCACATGGCCAAATAGCTTCTAAAAGTTTCTAGCAGTGTGCGAGCCCACCAGCCTTGCACATAAACACCGGTTTTACCACATCCTTATCAACACTGATTTTATTGTTTCTAACTTGATAGGGGGAAATGATGCATCATTGTTGCTGTTTCAATTGATAGATGATTAATGAAGTCATTAAAATTGTGATTATTGACCAATGGTGTGTCCTTCCTGAAAAGAATTTTTTGTCTTTATTTTATGAGGATGAGGACCTACTCTACTCTCCAGGATTCAGAATAACCATAATTCTAGCAAAATAAAAAGGAAATCATATTGGTTTGGGTAGCTATAGAGCTATCAGCTTAACAGTGAGACCACTGGCATTATTGTCTTCATTAGCAGCTGAAAAGGACAAGGTACCCAGAGAACCTGCCCAAATCCCAGCTCTGCCACTTACAGGCTTTGTGAGTTGGTGTAAATTTCTGCACTTCTTTGAACCCCAATTTCTTCATCTGCAAAATAGGGTTAATCCACCCTGTCTATTTATGTGACATTTTGAAGATCAGGATGAGGTCGGATACTTGAAAATGCTTGATAAACTCCAGAGAACTCTAAAAATATAAGCGATTGCTATAATATTGGCTTGTACAAATGAACAGTCTCCATGAGGTTGCATCAGGTCCAGGTCAGGACTTTGGCCATTGATTGAAAAGTGGAAACTTCAGCATTTTCACTTCTCACACAAATGGGATTCAATTCATAGATGCAAATTCAGGAAAGACATTTATTGGGTTTGAGATATTTTTACTCCTACCAGCAGGTGATAGGCCTTACAAATATGTGGAAGGACCTGACATTTCAGACCTCTTGGGTGCACAGTTTTCTTCTGTGTCCCTCCCTCCCTCTCTTCCTTCCTTCCAAGTGCCAAGCACTGGGAGTAAATAGTGAGCAAGAGGTGACCCACCCCCATTCTCACGGAGCTTATGCAAGTGCTTATTCAGAAGGACACACTGCCCAGGTGTCCCTAGGTTTGACATGGGTGTTCGGTTGACTGAACAGTGCTTTAGAGTTTATGAGGTATGTTTATAGCAATCAATATATCTGATTTTTCCAACTTCACCATGTGTGAGACTAAGAGGCATAATATTTTGGAGTCAGAAAGGTGAGGTGTCTTGCCTAAAATCCCATGGCAGAGTCAGTTGTGGGGCCGGGACCTGTGTCCAGTTTCCTGGTGACTCATTTGGTGCCTTTGTCACAACACTACACTCTGTCCTTTTCATTCTCATATTTGCAGGGGGTTAAACTTAGCCCTGCTTTGATGAGGGAATCAGAATGATGGGATTCCTCGGCAGAATCCTAACTCACCTGAAAACTGACATGGCTGTTGTGATGTGTGAAATACTGCTCCAAACGTAATTAAGAAAAGAAAGCTTGGCAGACAGAAATTAAAAAGCTAAAAGAAAAGAGATACTGTCTGAAAAGTCCCCAGTGACTTAAAAAGCCAGGCAATGGTTCCGCTGGGGTCAGAGGGGCTGTTGCTGGGAGGTGTCCGTGGCGCTGTGACAGCTCAGCTCTGCTCTCTGATGGAAAAATGTCCTGCCAGTCAATGGAATTACTGGAGATGATTCTGAGGGATAAAGGGAGATAAGTGAGCCAGATAGAAAAGCTTGCAGAAAATGGAATGAAACCAAGAGATGAGATGGGCTTAAAAAAGCAGTTCAGGGAACCTGGGTAAGAG